CTCCCCCTGTTCCGCAGTCCTGCGTCAGTCCTACCACAGCTATGAGGGGGGGGTCCGGCCTTCCCGCTACAGGCAGAAGCCACCCAGAACTCCAGCCCAAGCTCTCCTCCCTCCCTCAATCAGTCTTCCCTTGTACTATCAGCGCATGTTGAAGCCATGATCCGAACTCAGAAAACACAAAAGATGGTCCTTCAAGGGTTCTTTAGTAAGTTAGTTTTATGTAGAACCGTGAACACTAAAGGAAACCTTAGCATGATTAAAAGTTTCCTTGCATCATGAAAGCGTTCTTCAGATTGATGGAGAATGTGCTGTAGATAGTTCTATATAGTACCAAAATGGGGTCTTCTATTATAACAAGCTTGACTTAACAATAGAAGAACCCTTTTTAGTGCAACGTTTCAAAAAGGTTTTATACAGAACCATCTACAGCACATTCTCCATCATCTGAATGACCCTTTCACCATGCAAAGAACCCTTTAATCGTGTTAAGGATCTTCGAGTGTTCACAGTTCTATATAGAACCATTTTCTTGACTAAAGAACCCTTGAAGAACCGTTGTTTTAAAGAGTGTAGTACTAGTTCTTTCAGTTTTAACAAAGAATCTTACATAGTGCTGCTTTAACCAGTTAAGGCAGTGCCAGAGCAGTAGATAAATGCAAAGATTAAACCATCTTAAACATAGTTTTCCCACTTTCATACTCACAGATCATAGTGATAAGCAGATTTGTAGCTTATACCAAGTTGTGTCAGGCAGATTTAGATTAAATGTGGGTAGAATTAAGTTAAATGTGGGGGAAAATGTGCTTTACTTTGTTTGAGCGGATCACAGCATTATGTTCAAGTTGACGGGATCGAAGAGTCGACTCCAAGCGTTTCGGCTCTTTGAATCATCAGTAAAGAATCAACTCCCAGACTCATTGGAGTCAAAGAATCGACTCCTTGGGAATCAATACACAAAATGTGTCCAGTGAGAACCCCCCCAGTGCTATTCTAGCGTGGACTAACTGGGAGTTTATGATTTGTTTGTTTAGACCTGGAAATTACAGGGTACAGGATGAATTAAAAGAGAAATCCTGACCAAATTACATTAATGTACCTCCTTTGGTAAAACTAGTACAGCTCAAATACGTCCCAGGCATTCCTGGCATGTATTCTGTTCATAATGCTGTGTTGTTTCACTGTTCACAGCTTTTTTTTCAGCTTTTTTTTTTTTTTATTTCAGTGTAGCGATGCTGAAGATAATTACCCTGACTTTAGGCCAATAATTAGCCCAAACCACTGAAGCTGTTAACATTTGACATGCAATGCAGTGTTTGGCCTGAAGCAGTCTCCCCAGAAAGACAGTGCTGGGGGAGGATGCAGTGCAGGGTGGGTTTCATAATGAGTATCTAAATGCTTTTCTGTAGAACAGGCGCTAGCATTGTTAATTCAGTAGTAGAGAAAGACAAATCGTGTGCTCTGTGGCGTGATCGTGGTTTGCTGGGTTCAGCCGGTTGTACGGTAATGAGAGTGGGGTTAATGGCGCTGGGTGAACAACTAGTTGGCCTCCACCCAAAGCAATGCATCACCCCAGTCTGCTGTGCACACATGGGCAAAGTGGTATCAGAGCTGTCTGTGTCCTGTGTACAAAGTGAATTTATGACTGTGTTCTTTTTTCAACATTGCTCTCACTGTTAGAGGTTTGCCACACATACATGCGGTGCTGATAGTGATATGTGGGTGTCACAGCAGATAAACGATGTGTTAGTGGTTGCCGTGGTAACCTTTCTTTCATTGTGTCACACTTCGGTGATGGACAGAGCGAGAGATCGCAGCCGTCAATCAAGATAAGAGTCTTATCTGTAAACACAAACACACATACATACTTTGCTGGCACACAAAGATATTATATGTATGTGTGTGTTTAACAGGTGTATTCAAATTTCTCTTAGATGTAAAGGATTTATCTCTCTCGCTCCCTCACCTCTGCACATCAATTAAATCCATTGCTCTCTCTATCTCTGTGTAACTTTTTCGTTCTCATTCCTTACTCCTTATTTCTTTTAAGACCTATTCAAGCTGGATTAGTTTTCTGTAGGGAGGTGAGGCACTGCCAGTTTACCACGGGGCATCTGTATGACCAATTCGCACGGTATAAGAAATTTTGGTATAGACCACTGTAGTCGTGTCATCATTTTGTAGTCGGTGCCATGCTCTTATGCCCATATTAGAAACTCCAGGTCTAAGCTTGATTCCTCTATGGCCAGAATGAATAGGGTTTTCAAAAAAATCACCTCTATTGCACCCTGTGTTCCATGTTCTTCTCTTGAATACCACTGGATCCTCTGCATTTTGAGGTTGTTAAAGAGTTGAAATATGAATATTGCTAATGCTACTGCGCACTGAATTGATGTCAGTAGACTGTCAGCCTCCTTAAGCACGCTTTGCCAATATGGTAGCGTATTTCCATGTACAGAGGGCAGAGGAAATCAGAACAATAGGAGCAGGTTTCCCTGCAGTTCTCTGTTCTTCATCTGATACTCACTAAAACATCAGATAGGTCTTTCCGTTAGCTTGATTTGAAAAGCTCTACAAACGTACCTGCACTCAATTAAGTGCAGACTCAGCTTAATATCACTGCTGACCCCCTGATGAGCTGTTTTTTGCTATCAAAATATCCTAATTATTATTTTAATGCTGGTAACATTTTCTGAGGACATTTCCTCCAGTCATTCCCCAGCTTCTTTTTCAAATTTTCCCATTCCACCTTAAACACTTTAAACACCTCTTAATTCTGAACTGCAGCAGCATTAAAGGTGAAAGTGGAAAATTCAAACAAGAAGCTGGCGAAAAAGAAGTTGACTTCAGCTTCATGGAGAGTTGAAAGGCCTGATATGAGCAGGTTTCTCTATTTAAGCTTGACAGCTGAGTAACATTAACTTATTTCTGCTGTTTCTCAAAACCAACAGGTCAGTATTGTTTGTCCCGTTTGCTAATGCCTGTGATAGCTAATTTCAATTGCTGCACCATTTAAGCTGGAATGGGAACATTCAAACAAGAAACTGGTAAAAATAAGTTAAATTCAGTTTTAACACTCGTAGTACTTTTTGATAAAGAGTTTTAGCCTATCAGAATATCATACTTACAGGTTCTATTTACGGGTATACCCGTAAATATGCGCTATTGTAGAACATTTTCAAACGGTAGCACAACTCGCCAGAACACCACCATAGCCTGCCGTTGTTTTGTGTAGCTTAGTGACATCAAATTGATGCGCAGTAGCTTTAGCTTGCATGTAGCAATATTAGTATTAATACCCTGAGGATCCAGTGATATTCGGGAAAAATATGTACACAGGATAAAACATATCAGGTTCTGAACCTTTTTATTCAACACAGGTTGTGATAGAGGTGATTTTTCGTAAACTCTATTCATTCTGGCCATAGAGAAATTGAGCTTAGACCCGGAGTTTCTAACATGGGCATAACGTGCACTACAGAATTACGCACGACTACAGTGGTCTATAAATGATATAAAAGTGGCTTCACTCCAGAAAAGAGTAGAAAATGTCATATTTATTTTAGCCACTCTTTCATTTACCTTAACCGTCTGTCTTGCTGTCTTAAGTGAAAGAAGTTTGTCATTAGCGTCGTCATTAGCTTTGAAAGTAACAGCCAACAGTCAACATTAACATATAAAATCAGGCTTTTTCTGTAATTTTTACATTTGCTGAGTTGTACATGTGAGGTAGGGCAGTAACGTGATATATCAGCTGGATTTTAGTGACATAGAATGCGTGTAAAAGCTGGTTCGAGCCTCCAAACTTAAGAAACTCCAATATGATTTCCTGTGTCCTTTTCTGTCTTTCCACCCTCTCTCTTCTGTTCTCTCTCTTTCTCTTTCTCATTCCTCCTCTCTCTTTTTCCCACCCCTTTTATCTCTTTCTCCTTTTTTATCTTTCTCTCTCCTCTTTATCTCTTTTTCTTTCATGTTTACCTCTTCTCTCTTTCCCTTTTTTTATATCTTTTTTATCTCTTCTTCTCTCTTTCTCTCTGCTCTTTACCCCTCTTACTCTTTCTCCCTCATCATCTCTCTGTCTGTGGCTTTCTTTCTCTCCTGTGTCCCTTTTTTATCTCCCATTCCTTACCATTCTTAATTTCCCTCACCCTCTTTGAATATCTCTCTCTTCCTCTCTCGCTCTCTCTCTCTCTCTCTCTCTCTCCCTCTCTCTCTCTCTCTGTCTCCCCCATATATAGTGATCTCATTCCAATTCCAAACAGTATTCTCCAGAGGAATGGCATGAAAGTGAAGTAAAATCTCCACTATCACTTTTAGAAGTTTTTCTCACTGTAAAATATGCATTTTGACTTGATGATGCTCCTACATAATGCATCAAAAAGTCATAATATCTGATATTTATATGGTTAATTTCTCATTTTATGTTTAGAAATCCAACATGTAAAATAACACATTTGCAACATTACAATATGGATATTCTAGTTATTTCTTGTATAAAGTTTGATTCTGGCTCCTATATTGAAACCACAGAGGTTGCTGGGTTAGTCTTACAGTTTTACAGTCGTCCCACTGCATCACCAGCTTAATTCTCAGGGCTAATTTCAAAGGATTGTTTAATCAACTTTTACTGAGCCCAGCAATGGAGTTTATTAGGTGGTGTAATGAGTGGTGGATATGATATAAAATGATACAGTAATGGAGATCCAGCAGTGTCAGGCCACTGCTTTGCCCGTGATTGAGGCTGCAATTTAACAAGTAGATTTGATTTTACATCTCCATTAATCCAGCACATCATAGAACCAGATCAGAACTGATAACAATTCCTTGGTTGTCTCTAGATTTATAGACTGGGGGGTGAACAATTTGCAACTTTACTGCATATAGTATGTCACACTCTTTCATTTAATAAAGCAATTAAATTTTCCATTATTTGGGCATTAACATCTCTCACTTCTGTACCAGTTTTCATTTGATGTAGTCTAATCTAATCTTTTCTCCCTCAGATCAAGAGCTATTGGAAGACATCATGATTGACAGCTGCTTCTATGTGTCCCAGCCAGTGGTGAGTCTTGAAAGCAAAATGCAAAAAAATGTGTTTTATAAAGTGCAGTGTTTTGATAGAGAACGTTCCAGAAGTACAGGCCACATTGTGGTCCAACTGATATATAGATGTGCCAATAAAATCAGCTGATATTAAGGATTGTTATTTTTGGACATGTATTTATATGTCAGTAGGGACTGAGGACTGGTGTTAGATTTATACTAAAATTTTGATTACTAAATCAATACCTTAGACCAGAAACTGATGTCTCAAATTACACATAAAATGAAATGGAGAATGACCTTTTCTCAGCATTTTTATTTAGAGAAATGCAAATGATTTTCTGAAGTTGCTTAAAATGTGACATCAGAACATGTTTCCTATAAATTTGAATGGGTTTCAACATTATGAACACTTGAGTTCACTATTCAACGTATCATTTTCCTCAATGGTAACCTTTTCAAGTCAACATCATTTACTGAGAAGACAACTTGTTTAGAAGCCCACAAGTCCCCTTCAGCATCCAGTGTTGTACCAGTTAGATCTAGTGTTAGTGTTAGCTCTGAAGAAGCAGACTAAGTTACTTAGGTGACACGAAAAGTTATCTGTTTAACATGCATGTTTAAAGCCCTACTTTTCATGACGTTCAGAGCAGTGACCAACATTTATGACATTATCTCTTTCTTCTCCACAAATCTGCTAAATATGCTAGCATGACTGCTATGAATCTAAACCAACAAAATGCTGGGATCTGAGCCAACGAAGCGTTCACGTCAAATGTGCAAAGACTTTTAAACAATCTCGTCCGCCATGGTGTTAGACTTGTACCTCAGTGAATTTGTATAATGGGTATAAATGGGTTGGGCATTGGGTGGCCAAGGCAATTTTAAGGGGTCCAAACACCCAAAAAGTGAAAAAATGGAGGCAGCATTTTCTGTTACCTGTTTTTGTTAATACACTGCTATGATGTCAATTTGAACAGCACTGTTATTACTGAGGGAGCTCAGAGCTTGGCGAATTATCGAAGGTAGCCTAGTTCGCTCCAGCATTGCAACTTAGCAAACCTGTAAAAACTATGGACATGGCAGATTCGCACTGGATTCAAATCACAGATTCCAGCTTGAATAGAGCTTTAGTTTGGGCTGACACCCAAGGTCACCCCTCGGCCACCCCTCTGGCTTCTCCACTGAGGGACCACAGATAAATCTGCCCTAATGGCGCAGCCACCAATGCGTGGGCCCTAATTTGAATGCGGTATTTGAACGAGCTGAAGAGTATTGGTTCAGAGGAGTTTCAAGATACAGCAGGTTCACTCTCTCCCACTACGCTCTGACTGCAGAATGAAGCCTGAACTGTATTTTATTGTTGAGTTATTTCTGCTGCCATGACTTTGACTTCATAACCTATTAATCTTTCATTTCACTCACAGTTAATCACAGACTACGTTTTATCTGCTTGCCAAAAATCCATCTGCCGTTATTAATCATTAAAGTTTGTGTGTGCTTGCATGAGGTCTGTGTGTGTGGGTTTTAAAGAGCTAATGAATGATCGGTGGCCTGTAGCAGCAGCTGTGTTGGTAAGGGATAGGAACATCCTAATGGAGTAATAATATTGCTGGACACAACATGTTTAGCCTTGTTTTAAGCTTCTGGAGCTGGGGCTTAACTCTTTACCAATTTCAGTGGGGCAAAGTCCACCACCTAGACTGCTGCTGTGAGTAGTTGTATCATTTTTAATATGTTTACACAGATTTGATCATGTTACTGTATAAAAAGACATTTATGGCAAAGTGTTTGGTGCACAGTAGCCTACAGCACGACAGACTGTGTAAAGTAAACAGTACGTATTATCTATTACTGATGCTGAGAGTAACATCACATATATGTTATCTGTGGTTATGGTGGCTAACGCTAATAGCTAAAATGAAATTTTCAAAATGCTTTAAATCTAGCTGAGCGGACCACCTGTAATATATTTTTTCCTGATTTATCCCGTTCATAGAGCATTTGGAAGAAGCGCGAATGGCAAGATATTAGGTTTTGTTTTGAGGGCACAGTACAAACCTATTTCCAAAAAAGTTGTGACATTATGTGAAATGCTAATAAATACATAAAGCAGTGATGTGCAAATTCTGTTTGACCTGTTTTAAATTGAAACTGTACAATAACACAATCTTTGACATTTTACCTTATGAATATCATTGTTTTTGTGAATATACATTCTTTTTTTGTTATTATTTTGTAAATAAAAGAGCTCAATGTAGTATGTTAACATTGTTAAAGTTTCAAAATATACCATTTACTTTCCGGTTCATACAGCCCATGAATGAAAATTAAGCTGCAAAAGTAGCACATTGTAAACCAACCAACTTCACATATATACGCTCCATTTAACAGTTTAAGCCCACCCAGTCAGCCTACAGCAGTTTAACACCACCCTTTCAGCATACACTAGTTTAGCACTGCCTTTTGATGTTGATGTTATAAGGAGTGTTTCAGAGCAAGCCTATCTTTCACTCTCCAGCCCATTCAGTCTATATATGAAAACTAAGCTGCAAAAAAATGTTTATGTAATGTAATGTACATTACATTACAGCAATTTAGCCCCAGCCATTCACCCTACAACTGTTTAGCCCTGCTTATTCAGCCTTCAGCAGTCAAGCCCCAACCATTCAGCCTACAGCTGTCTAGCCAGGTCCATTTAGCCTACAACAATTAAGCCCCGCCCAATCAGTCTACAGCAGACTAGCCCCTCCCCATTCAGCCTACAGCGTTTAGCCCCACTTATTCAGCCTACTGCAGTCTAGCCCCACTCATTCAGTCTAGCCTAATCCATTTGGCCTACAGCAGTTAAGCCCTGCCTGTTCAGCCTATAGCAGTCTACCCCTGCCCATTCAGCCTACAGCAGTTAAGCCCCACCCATTCAGCCTAAAACAGTTTAGCCCTGGCCTTTCAGCATACAGCAGTCTAGCCCCACTCATTCAGTCTAGACCTGCCCATTTAGCCTAAAGTAGTTAAGCCTAAAGTTAAGCCTAAAGCACTCTCCAGCTCATACAGTCTATATATGAAAACTAAGCTGCAAAAAATGTTTATGTAATGTAATGAACAACAACACTCCATATATATGACTTTACAGCAATTTAGCCCCACTCATTCACCCTACAACTGTTTACCCCTGCCTGTTCAGCCTGCAGCAAGCAAGCCCCACCCATTCAGCCTACAGCAGTCTAGCCCTGTCTGTTCAGCCGACAGCAGTTAAGCCCCACCCATTCAGCCTACAGCAGTTAAGCCCCTACCCGCTTAGCCTACAGCAGTTTAACCCTGCCCATTCACCCTGAAGTTAGAAGGAACATTTGAACACAGACTGCTTTTTGAATGAGGCACAGTACAGGCCGATCAATCAGAGTGGAGCTCCTTAACAGCTTGTTAAATTCCAAGGGATAAAGAAAGGTTGGAAAATGAATTTTTTTTTGCTACATAAAACCATGCGCCATAATGTAAAACCAAAACCAAAACCATCAAGTGTTATACGTGGACCTCAGAGGAAAGATTAAAATACAATAAAAATGTCGAAATTGAGTATAGAAGAGTCATCCTGGTACTAGAAGGCCTTATCAGTAACTTACTGAACATGCTGACCTGAACTGAATTAATTAATAAATTACAAACTACACAATATACAGGGAAGGATGATCAGTTCTTTTTTTGCAAGAGAATAACCCCTTATTTATTTAATTTAATTATTATTCTATTTATTGTGATGCCAAAAAAATATATATATATATATTAAGAAGTATTCAAAAATGGTGAAACGGTGTTTGGGCCAGCCCTGGTTCTGAATAGTGTGCACATGATACATCCTGTTACTGGAAGACACCACACACATACACTGTTACTGACAGACACAGCACAGCTGATACAGACCTCATCATCAGCTCATGAAGTCCATTTATTTAACAAAGGCTTTCAATTAAAGCGGACATTATAGTGTCCAACTGTACAAAATGCCTCGTAGCCATGAAACACAGGGGTGTCTATGTGTGCACGTATCGAGAGGAACAACACGAAGTCCTCTCTCTCGTTGTTATGGATGCGCAAGTGTATGAATATGTGTGAGTGTGTGCGTATATGCGCACTATAATGAGTCTCCGCAGGGCTCAGTCTGTTAGCTTAGCGCTTAGCCATGTCCCATCAGGGAATGCTGTTGCCGGGCGACACACGACATGGAGTCTCCAAGGCCCTGGCAGTGTCCTTGTTAGAGGACAAACGAGAAAAGAGATGGAAGAATGGAGAGAGGAAACCCCCTCCAGCACATCCAATTCTGGCTTATTCTCCAAGAGTGCACCAGTTGGAGAATAAACGTGAATAAGATGGCCTGTTTCCTCTTGCTGTGTTTAGATCCAACTGAGAGCATTTAATGTTGTGGAACTGCAGAAGGACTGACACTGTTGGCTAACAGATAGAAAATTGGAAAAGGGGAGAGAATAGCATGTAAAGAGTTTATTGACATTGTATAAAATGTTATAGACCTCATGCAGTTGTTATTGCAGTGTAAAAAGATGGTGAGAGAAGCAGCGAGAGTACACACCCTATTTGTGGCAAACAAAAAGTTTTGAGAATAGTGAGCATGTAGTTTAAATGTGTGGAGTTCTTAATCAGGTCAAACATTTTGATCTGAACTTGGATATTGCCAAGAACTAAATGCAGATGTGGGAACCTGACCTGTAGCACCTAGTTTTGCATCTGACTCTATGAAGAGAAAAACTCAGACAAAATTCTGTCTGTACTTGTCTGTGGCCTGACAAAATTCTGTTCCAATCTGTAGTCTGACAAAATTGACTATTTCTCAGATGCATTCTGTCCAAATCCCATTCTGACAAAATTCTGTCTGAACCTAGTTGTAGCAAGAAAAAAATTCTGTAACAAAAAGCAGATTGTACCCCATAATCCATTCTTTCTGAGCCCAGCTGTTCTCCAGATGCATTTTGTCTTAAACAGACTGTACCCTGAATACATTCATTCTGAAATGGACAGTAGTTTGACAAAATTTTGTCTTAACTTAACTGTACCCCAAACATTTGGTCTAAACCCAATTATAAACCAAATACACTTTGTCTGAATGTGACTGCAATCGATTTTGCACCCTGATTCTAGCCCCTTGATTGTAGCCCAAACAATTCTGTCCCAAACTGACTGCACCCCAAATACGTCTAAATCCGACTGTTCCCCAAATACATTATATCTCAAATGTACTGCAGCCCAAATACATTCTGTCTGAACTTAACTGTACCCCTAATACATTCTGTCTGGAATAGACTGCACCCAAAATACATTCTGTCTGGAATAGACTGCTCCCAAAATACATTCTGTCTAGAATAGACTGTACCCCAAATACATTCTGTGTGGAAGAGACTGCTCCCAAAATACATTCTGTCTAGAATAGACTGTACCCAAATACATTCTGTGTGGAAGAGACTGCTCCCAAAATACATTCTGTGTGGAAGACACTGTACCCCAAATACTTTATATCTTGAATGTAATGCACTCCAAATACATTCTGTCTGGAATACACTGCACCTCAAATGCATTCTGTCTGGAATAGACTGTACCACAAATACATTCTGTCTGGAATAGACTGTACCCAAAATACATTCTGTCTGGAACAGACTGTAGCCCAAATGCTTTATATCTCTAATGTACTGCACCCCAAATACATTCTGTCTGGAATAGACTGTACCACAAATACATTCTGTCTGGTATAGACTGCACCCAAAATACATTCTGTCTGGAATAGACTGCACCTAAAATACATTCTATCTGGAATAGACTGTACCCAAAATACATTCTGTCTGGACTGTACTGCACCCCAAATACATTATTTCTCAAATGTACTGTACCCCAAATACATTCTGTCTGGAATAGACTACCCCAAATACATTCTCTCAAAAATGGACTGTAGACTGACAAAAGTTTGTCTTAACTGTCTAAACTGTTTGGACCCAGCTGTACCCCAAATACATTCTGTCTGAACTGTCTGGACCCAGCTGTACCCCAAATACATTCTGTCTGAACTGTCTGGACCCAGCTGTACCCCAAAGATATTCTGTCTGAACTGTCTGAACTCAGCTGCAACCCAAATATTTACTGTCTGAACCCAGCTGTACCCCAAATATGTTGGTTCTGAACCCAACCACATCCAAAACCCAACTGTACCCCTAATACATTCTGACTAAACCCGACAGTACCCCAACTACATTATGTCTGGACCCGACTATAGCCTGACAAAAAACAAACGCAACTGCAGCCTGACAGAGTTCTGTCTGAAACATAACTGTTGCTTAGCAGAATTCTGTTTAACCTGACTGTAGCCCAACAAAATTCTGTTCCAACCTGACACCAGCCTGACAAAAACCCCAGATACATTCTGTCCAAATCAAGTTGTAGCCTGAAAAAATTCTGTCTGGACCTGACTGTAACTCAAGACAATTCTGTGTGATTGGCATGACAAAATGTTGTTTTTTTACATTATGACTAAATCCAACTGTACCCTAAATACATTCTACATTCTGAGATCGACTGTAGCCCTACAAAAATCTGGTAGAATCTGCTAGAATGTAACCTGGCAAAATTCTGCCCAAACCTGACTGTAGCCTGACAAAAATCTATCTGAAACTTTTTGCGCAATAAGGTGCAATAAAGAAAGCAGAATGCAATCAAAATTGTTATGAACCAAAAAAATGTGCAAAGTCAAAAAGCCCAGAAAATGCTTGTACAATATACATCCAATGTAAATGTGATGTAACATTTAATTGAATTAAATAAAAACAAACAGGCAAAATCAATCACAAAATACACAAACAGATTCTGAAGTGTTTTAACCTGATTTTTGAAGCTGATAGGACTGTTAAAGTTTTAAGAAGAGGTAGTAGGCAGGTCCAGTTTGAAGGTCCTCAATAAGACAGTTTAAAATGTCCAAGTGATGTCCTAAAGAAAGCTGAAGACCTTGTGGAGCAATAAAGAAATTGAAAGTTGTATTGAAAACTGTTTTCGTAGCAGTCAGGGGTCAGGAGGGAGGTTGAGTATTTCTGCTATTTTAGTTTTATCAGCTACTAATCAGGTACCTAAAATTAGGTTTAAATTAATGAATTCATTAAACAATACCTTCCCATTGATTTAGTGTGTGTTGTTTACTCTTTCATGGCTGTTCTGTTTCTCCTATGTTTCCCTTTCAAAATAGTAGCACTTACAGTTACAGACTGGGGCAGCTTTAGCAAGCAGAAATTTGACAAACTCTCTTGTTGGAAAGATATTCTTCAACAAAGCTATGCTGAAAATCACTAAGCTCTTCAGTACATTCTACTGCCAATGCTGTATGTTTGATTTTATGCACCTGTTAGCAATAGGTATGCAAATCTCAGTGATGAAGTTAGGTGTCCACGTACTTTTGACCATATAAAGCTCAAACAATACTTGTTTGGCAGCTAAATGGTGAAGTAAATTTACAGTTACATTTAATATAAGCTTTTAAGATTTTTATATTATAGGGTTTGTAGTTTATGTTGGCAGACTTTGTTAGACAACATTCTCACTCTGAGTGCTTTGTTTCTTTCTTTCTCTCTCTCATTTCAATCAGCCAGAGGATTTGATGAGTTTGGTGGCTGTTATGCTGTATGACTTCCAGGACAGGAAGTTCCTCCCCCGTGAGCAGCTGGCCAATCAGACAGAGCAGGAGATGGAGCCAGCAGTTCAAGAAGTGGAAGAATGCCTGCTCAGGTGAGAAAAGACAAGCCGAGCAGTCGGCAATCGATTTTGTTCAATTATAATTAATGACTGTACACTGTATAACCCATGATGTCAGTCGATCAGAATAGTGCATTGGATAAATGACGAAAGCCCAATGGCTATGAGCCACAGCTTGTGCTGTATTTGTATGACCTGTTGTTATTGTTGTTTGTCAGGTTCAAGACGAAGCTGGCGGCCTCCTTAGCGCGCTGCAGGATCAAACATGATCTGCTGACCATTGACTGCATCTTGCCAGAGAGTATTCGACAGAGACAGGAGAGAGCCTCCAACCTGCATATATATGCCTGGGTTAACACGCTGAGAACCAGGTACACACGTAGAACAGTGCTTCTGTCCTGCCCTGTATGTCTGGTTTAAAGGGAAATGTTGAGATGTAAAAAAAGATGTAAAAAAAGTCATTCAGAGTGTTTTGATGTGAAATGGAGCATTATAAAGAAATGTACAGGCTTACTTACACTGGTAGTGATACGAACCAGGGGTTGCAATATCTATAATTCAAAATAGTCATTTTATTTACTATCCAAAATGACAGCTAAACTGACAAATGTCTTTTGAGTTTTCATGTATAATGTTGATATTAGTAAAATAGTGGTAAATCCAAAAAAAGTTTTGCCTTACAACATCCTATATACATGTATATACCCCTGTATATGTATTCATAATCATTTGATATAACAGCTTTCTGTGAGGTAGCTTTTAGAGGCATTAAACTCTTCAGACATCTGGGACCGCATTACAGAAACCTCCTGCCTTTTCCCCTAAGTTAAGATCTGACATGGTCAATGTAAGATTTTTCACAAATTCACAGAAGCAAATCCTATCAATTTAGCAACATATCTTTTCTTACAGCATCATTTCTAAAGTTATGAAATCCTAACTTCTCGATCAAGGTAGATAATCAGCTGTTATACTACAGTTAGTTCCGGCCACACAAGCTGATCGATTGAGAAGCGTTCTTCCTGAAAAAAATGTGCTGTTATGGCGAAATAACAGCACGTTTTTTTCAGAAACACTGTATCACTCCGCTGAGGCGCCGTTGCTAAGCAACGACTTTGACAGCTGTAGGAGACGCTCAAGCCATTTGAAAGTTTTTACTTCTTACTTTGCGCACAAACAGAAAATGGATACTTTTAAGACCACATTTGACCAACAGCCGATTTGGTCAGACTGTGAAGGTGAGGCTACACTAAATTCCGAAACTGTCATTACCACTGAGCGGCAGCTGTGACAGAATACCTAAACAACTTGGAATTAGCCAGAAATGAACCGAATACTATTCGCCAAACAAAACAGGCGGTAAGATGCTTTAGAGACTGGCTGGAACAAAACAACATTAATATTGATCTAGCAAAAACTGACAAAACTGAGCTAAACTTGATATTGCGGCAGTTTTCAGTCTGATTTGGTCAGACTCTGAAGATGAGACTACACGTTTGGCGAAAGATATTTGGTTCATTCCTGGCTAATTCCAGGTTGTTTAGGTCTTCTTCTGTCTGCCAACTGAAAAGCTTGCTCAGTGGTAATGACAGTTTCGGAATTTAGTGTCAGGAGCTGGAGAACGAACTGCTGGCTGTGCAGCAAATGATTCTGACATAGCAACAAGCTGCTTGTTAAGGCACTTAATTTGGCTGAAGGAACTGCTAACATTAAAACATATTAAATGCCACATTCACGGCCCAATTTATTTATTTCTTACTTTATTTATTTAACTGTTGTATAAAAGCAATAGAACACTCGAGGTCGTGTGTTATCGCGAATAACATCACGGCTGTGATTTGGTCGCAGGCACAGGCCAAAGTTATTTCGTGATAATGCACTCCCTCTCGTGTTCTATTGCTTAATTACGTGCGTTATGACATGCACAGCTGAAATCTAAGATAGTTATTTAGACAGCTTTTGATGTATAACAAAATGCCAAAACAAAACTAAAGTGCGGTAAACTGGAAGTTTTAACTTGTGTTAGTGTTAATAAAATGTTATTGTGAGTGCGCACCGCACTGTTTGATGGGACATCATTGCTCTCCAGTTTCAGTTTCCATTTCCCAAACCTTTAGCTGTCATTGAATTGAACGGTGTTTCTTCTAATAAACACATGTTCAACTCAGTCTCCTCATTATTCACCACCATCACTGTTTTGTTAGTATTCATCGACATTAACACGCACAGGTAATAAGAGGGAATGGTGGAGACCATGTCTTCAGTACCTGTGATATTTTGAACTGCAGACTTAAGGGCAAAAATATCATTCTCACAACTGTTTTGCAACAATCTCCTGTTATCATATACGCAAAAAGGAGAGCTTAATTGCAAACATATTTTACACTCACTGGTGTTATATGAATATGGTGTAACACCTGTGACTGTGACACCAGTGTCATTCTGGTTAAAATTGAGGATTTTGTAAATTGGCTGACTGATTGATGGTCAGGTGACCTTTTGCAACTGTTTAAAATCAATAGTAAAAATGATATTTGGCAGTATTTTGAAAAAATCTTAATTACCCAGCCTTTAAAGCACATAACACCAGTGACGCATAGAAGTTATGTGCTGCCTGATAAACAAAATTATTAATAAATTAATAAAATATAGTGAGCAAATGTGGACTCGCCTTCTCATGCCTTGAGATGCTTCCTCTCTGATGAGCCTTGACCCGAAGAAGCAGTTTAATAGAGCTGAAAATACTGTGTTAAAATGTAACATAAGAGTCCTGATAACACCAGTGACCAAATCTCTGTGACAAATGAATTTTTGAAATAAAATACTTATTTTTAAAATGTAGTATAACGTTAATGATATAAAAAGTAAACTTGAATCTGTTTTATACAAATTCCTAAGTTAAACCTTTTAAAAATATTGTTTTATATTAAAAATGGTTTAATGTTGAAAATTGGTTTTGTGACAAGCTGTTTTACATATGCAGAGCGACTATGAAACATAATAAATAAAGAGAAATCAAAGAGAAACATATTATTTCATTTTAGGTCAACTATGTAAATGTACATATTGACTTTTGGAGCTGTGCCTAATATTTTAAGCATCTTTTTAAGCCCTGCAACCTTCGTGACATGGTTTCCCACTCCAAATGGAGAATGACCCATACACATATTGGAGCAGCATATGCTGCCTTCTAGACAACGTCTTTTTCAGGGACATCCATGCTCGTTTCAACATGACAACCCCAAGAAACTTTCTGCACTGGTTACTACAGCATGGCTACGTAATAAGAGAGTGATGGTGTTACACCGGCCTGCCTGCAGTCCAGACCTATCTCCTCTGAAAATGTGTGGCACATTATGATGTGCAAAATATGACAACGAAGGCCCTGTATTGTTGTAGAGTAGAAAAATGGCAAAAGATTACGCTTTCAGAACTGGGTCAGTCAGAATCTTCAGTCCCCAGACGATTATTAAGTGTTGTTAAAAGGAAAAGTGATGTAACAGTGGTGAGCTAATAAGGTAACGCATCAAAAATGGTGTTTTTGTTCTGTTTTCAATTATATCACAGTCACGCAGAATTAACTAATCACTGCCTTCCATTTTTATTAGCATTTTTTGACAGATTGTTTCAGAAATGTATGCGTGTGTTAGGTGTGGATAATAAGGCAATATTAATCATCATCATGAAAAATTATCACACATTATGTAACAGTATGCAGTTATGAGTAAATTGTGGATATTGTTAGTACTTGAAGAGCACTTTGCTGCTGTCTGAATTAAACCTTGTATCTCCATTTCTGTCATTTTTTATTTTTCGACATAATTTGAAAGTCCTGTTGGCCAAAAATGACTGGAAAAAAGTCTTGTTCCATTGACTTTATTAAAAGTAAAGTATGTTTTTTCTTTCTCCTGTAAAATGATCATTTTGGAGATAAAATGTTTTGTTCCGACAACATTGACTTGCAGAGTGCATTTTTTATTAAAAAGAAAGCGTAAAAAGTCTTGAATGAAAGTCATTATTTGTCATAGTTTATGATAGCATTTTGTTAGATGGTGCACTGCTGTCAACATATCAAATCTCAGAAAAAGGAAATGTGATGCATATTGTGTATCATGAAAGTGTTTTGAAGCATATCATAACGTGTTAAATCTTTGCCATGTCACCCACCCCTAATACGTGTGTATGTATTGTGAGCAAGAAATAGAATTAAATAGCAAAGTATGCATTTTATCATAGGCTGTCTTGTGATTTAAGGATTAACTGGAGGACATGAAGTCCTTTGTGTGTGTGTGTGTGTGTGTGTATGTGGGTGGGTGTGGGTGTGTGTGTGTGTGTGTGTGTGTGAGTGTAGAATAGTTTATTGTTTTACTTTGCTGCTGGCATCCCATTAAGGCTGTTCTCCTATGTTTAACCTCTATTCCAGAATGGCCAGTCTTATTTCAAATAGCCCCTCTATATGTGTGTGCGTGGTTGTAGCTCATATGAAGCTGCAGACAGCTGAGTGTGGGGCCATAAATCGCCCTGAGCTGCACACACAGATGCAATCAGTGCTTCTGGAGGTCACAGGCGCGCACACTTTCCCTCCTCTCCTTTTTAAAATTTATGCTTATTTGAGCTCCTTTCTTTATAAATCACTTAATGGTTTAATGATTTAACTCCATCACTCATTCCAGGCCAAATCAGTTGTTGCACAGATCTAATTTACTTAAATCACAAATCTAACTCAATCTGACTAAACTTCTCTCTCTCTCTCTCTCTCTTTCTCTCTCTCTGTCTTTCTCCTTGCTCTCATTCTTCTTTTTCTTTTTTCTCTCCCCTCTTCTTTCTCTCTCTATCTCACTCTTCATTCTTCTCTTTTCTCTCATTTTTCCCTTTCTTTTCTCCTTTCTCTCTCCTCTCTTCCTTCTCTCTATCTCGCTCTTTTCTCATTCTATTCTCTAATCTGTCTCTCTGTCTCGTTTTTCTCTTCTCCCTTTCTCAATCTCTTCTTTCTGTGTCCCGTCTTTCTCTCTTCTCCTCTCTCTTCTTCCTCCTTCTATCTCACTCTTATTGGATTCTTTTTTTCTCTCTCTCTCTCTTATCTCTTCTTTCTCTCTCTGTCTCACTCTTTGCTCATTCTTCTTTCTCTAATCCCTATATGTCTGTCTGTCTCTAATTCTATTTTCTCTTGTTCACCTTTTTCTCTCTTCTCTCTCCTTTCTCCTTTTTCCTTCCTCCATCTATATATCTCTTCTTTTTCTCTCTTCCCCTTTCTATTTTCTCTCTTCTTTCTCTCTCCATCTCACTCTTCTCTCATTCTTCTCTTTCTACTTTCTCTTTTCTACTTCTACTTCTACATTTTTCTCTTTCTACTTTAATCTTTCTCTGTCTCTGTCTATTTCTCTTTTCTTTCTTTCATCTTTTTCTGTTTTCTGTCTCCTTTCTCCTTTTACTCTCCTCCCTCACTCTAAATGTCTTCTTTCTCTCTCTCCTCTCTCTATTCTCCTTTCTTTTTTTCTCTTCTTTATTCATCTCACTCTTCCCTTATTTTTCTCTTTTCTCTCTCTAATCTGTCTCTGTCACTATTTCTCTTTTCTCTCTCTCATCTTTGTCTCCTTTCTCCTTTTTCTCTCCTCATTCTCTCTATATCTCTCCTTTTTCTCTCTCCTCTCTCTTCTCTCTTCTTTTATTTCTCTCTCCATCTCACTCTTCTCATTCTTCTCTCTTTTCTCTCTCTAATCTGTCTCTCTCTGTCACTATTTCTTTTTTCTCTCATTCATCTTTGTCTCCTTTCTCATTTTTCTCTCCTCCCTCTCTCTATGTCCCTCCTTTCTCTCTCTCATCTTTGTCTCCTTTCTCCTTTTTCTCTCCTCCATCCCTCTATATCTCTATATCTCTCCTTTCTTTCTTCTTTCTTCTCTCTTTAATGTTTATCTCTCTGTCTCTCTCTCTCTGCAGTAAGGAGGAGGTAAGCGATGTGTTGAGGTCAGTGGGTTTCTCTCGTGTGAATTCTGTGGGTCAGTTGGAAGGACAGACGTTTTGTCAGGACGTTCACTGCCTGGACCTGCTGGTGTTTCCAGCATGTGTGAGAGGAGAGCTGTATAAGACCAGCCTGTTGTCAGACCACAGACTGATCATACAGGTATATATACTAGCTCACATACGTTATACACATATGCTGCACTAGGGGTGGGCAGAATGACTGTTATTGTTATTGTGATAACTTACACCACAAAACACCTTTCTGTGTATTGGTCTCTCTCGTGTGGTGTCACTGTATGACCACACCGCCAATATCTTGACCAGGAGAATTAAAAATATGTGTATGCTGTACAGTCTGATATTTACGTTTGATTAACTTAAAAAAATACACCAATCAGGCATAACATTATGACCACCTTCTTGTTTCTACGCTCATTGTCCATTTTATCAGCTCCACTTACTATATAGGTGCACTTTGTAGTTCTACAATTACAGACTGTAGTCCATCTGTTTCTCTGCATACTTTGTTAGCCTCCTTTTACCCTGTTCTTCAGTGGTCAGGACCCCCATGGACCCTCACATTGCAGGTACTATTTGGGTGGTGGATCATTCTCAGCACTGCAGTAACACTGATATGGTGATGGTGTGTTATTGTGTGTTTTGCTGGTACGAGTGGATCAGACACAGCAGTGCTGCTGGAGTTTTCAAACACTGTGTCCACTCACTGTCCACTCTATTAGACACTCCTACCTTGTCAGTCCACCTTGTAGATGTAAAGTCAGAGACGATAGCTCATCTGCTGCTGCACAGTTTGTGTTGGTCATCCTCTAGTCCTTCATCAGTGGTCACAGGACGCTGCCCACAGGATGCTGTTGGCTGGATATTTTTGGTTGGTGGGCTATTCTCAGTCCAGCAGTGACACTGAGGTGTTGACACTGGGGTGTGAATGTGTGCTTACACACACATTCACACCCAGTATAAACACAGAACACACACTTCTCAGTTTCATTTATGGGCATTTCAGTGCATTATCTGATATTTAATCAGATTACTGGGCTCAATTCCATTAGGCTTTCAGAATTACTTATCTGTTTCTCTCTCTCTCTCTCCCTCCCTCTCTCCCCGTTGTGGTCTAGTTTCTGTCTCTGAACCGTGTGAATACACTGTGAAATAATAAGCCTTTGGAGATATTTGCTCAAGCTGTGTTTTTGGTTTAATTAGAGAGAAAATGAATGAGCAAGTCTCGGTTCAGTTTCTTTATAATTTAGGATTTCAAGAGCCCGCAGCCACTATTGGTTGGCAAATTTCCCATGGTTCTTCTAACATTTAATGCAGTTCTGGACTGGGATATAATGCCTGTCAATCACTTTTTCATCGCTATAATTATGCACTCGGACCAGCATTTATTAATCTTATTAATCTTACTAATATCCCTTTCTTTGATGCCATGTTGTTTTGGCTCAAGCTGCTTGTTCTTCTTGTTTACTTTTTATTTATTGCTTACGCTTGTTTGTAGGATAAGTCATGCTGCGTGGGGCCGTGGGCGCTGCGGCCCCTGCTGGATCGAGACGGAGACGTTCTAATGGCTGGATCCTTCTCCGCTTCTACCATTGCTCACACTTCCGCCATCATTGCCGCCGCCGCCTCAAACATGCACACGCTCACCTTTCCCAACTCACTCAAAAAAACACACGGCAATGCACAAGTGCTTGTGTGTGTGGGAGAGCGCTCGTGTGCTGAGAAGGAGGAACTGCAGGAGGTCCTCTCCAGCATGGGCTGCAGCAGTGAGTGCATCTGAGGGCATGTGTTTATGTGTTGACTTCACTTTGCTTCATGGTTTCAGAGACTTCAGAGATGTTTATAGGTGTGTGGTATGTATATTTCAGACGTGAAGCTGCTTTCTGAAGCTTTTCATGCTGTGGATGTGTCTGATTCCCGTCTACAGAAGGTCTTGCTCATCTCGCTGACTCCACAGTGTTCCCTCTCAGCAGTCTCGAACCCTGTAGACTACCTGCTGCAAGAGAATGGAGGTACATTTATACAAATTTAAATGCACACATCACACAAACTGCATACAAATGTGTAATTGAATCTCTTTAAAACGTGGCTTTGTGTGCTGCTTTTTGAGATCGTCTAACTTGCTTCACATTGCCAGACAGGTTCAATTTAAGTGTTTTGATTGACAGGTCAGGCCATAATCATGCCTGGGTGTGGCGAGTGAAATTGAACCCAGTTATCAATTGAATTTGGTTAACTGGTTGATTTAGTAGCTAAGGGCGCAGTTACTTTTTCACATATGGCCAGGTAGGGCTGAACAGCATTTTTGCTTCAGTAAATGAAATCATCATGTAAAAACACTGTATTATGTTTACTTGGCTTATCTTTGTCTACTGTTAAAAGTAGTTTGATGATATGAAACATTCAAGTTGGACAAACATGCAAAAATAGAAGTAATTGGGATACAAATGCTTTTTCACAGCACTATATTTCTGCAAATAAATAAACTTTTTTGTGTTTTAATGAAAAATAGTACAACTTTTATGTGTACAGCTGTTAAAAGCTGTGTTTGCTAGTCATGTATTCGCAAGCATTTTTGACTTGTGCTCAAAATTGGCTAAAATTGTCACTACCGAAATATTTGGTAGAGTTGTTTTAGTAGTGACAAAATAGTATGTTCCATCATTTGTTTCAATAAAATAAACATAATTAAGGAGTAGAAACACTCAAAGGATTTTAATCTGAAGTCAAATGTCTGAAATGTATTTTCAACTCTGAACCAATTCAGTAGAATGATCTATATACAATTACCGGTGTAAAATTCGCTGCTGTTGGAACAAAACCTTGTCTCCATTTTTATTGTTTCTTTTTTTTTGTCATAATTTGAAAATGCCTGTTGACCTTTACATTGTGTGTATGATGAATGGACCAAAAGAAATGGTCCAAAATTACTTGGAAAAACGACTTGTTCCATTGACTTACATTCAAAATAAAGTATGTTTTTTCTTCACCTGTAAAGTTACCTTTTTGGAGATACAAGGTTTTGTTCCAACATCAGCAAATTACAGACTGTAGTCCATCTGTTGCTCTGTAGTTTATTGCCCCCCCTCTACCCCATTTATCATTGGTCAATTTTTGGCTGACCGCTGTTGACCAGATACTGTTTGAGTTTTGGAGGGTTCTCAGCACAGCAGACATTATGGCACTGGTTTGAATGAAGTTTTTACATAAATTGGTATGAGAGTAGTCCACCAAGAGTGGTTCTGTGGTCAGAAACTGACCACTGAAACAGGCTGGCTAGCACAATTGTGCATCTACAGTCTCTGTGACTGCAGTCTGTAACTTTACACCAGCAAAGAGTATTAATCTTATATGTAGCTCCTTCTGTCCTGGGGCTGGAATTTGATCTGCTTTATGAACTGAGACCAGAATGCAGTATTGGACATGATAATAAGACCCCGTGTGTCTTTCAGACACTGAACTACTGCAGGATCTGTCCCAAGGCTCTGTCTCTCAGTCCAGGCTGAACACACTCGTCTCCCAACAGAAGAGAGACCTCCAACACGCTCTTCGCTGTGAGTATGTGTGAATGAGTGTGTTTGTGCAGGTCAGAGACCATACATTCATTTATTTCATTTTCAGTTAAAATGATCATTAAATTAGTCATCTTTCAACCTCAGCATCAAAGGGATAACACAGAAACCTCAACTAGTTTGTCCAACTTTTACAGCTTCCATTCAGGAGACTTGCTTTCAGAGAAATCTTTAGAGAAATCTTCATGTTTTTCCACACCTTCAAAGTTCAGTCTTAGAAGTTGGTTGCATTTTCTACTTCTCACAATCCAAGTAATCCCAAACACATTCAATGATGTGGAGGTCTGGATGCTGGGATGGCTGTTACATTGTTCTGAGAACACCAGCAACTTTGTTTGATTTATTTATTTATTTATTTTTTTTACGAAGCTGCAGCGTCAAAGAACAGTTAAAAGTCTAAAAGCAAAGTTTAAAGAATCTGAGGATTCAAACCAAAGAAGTGACCGCGCCCTTTTTACAGTAAGCTCGAACACATTCTGGGTGATGAGCCCAGCTGTCAGTCAGTGAAGCTTCATGATCCTCCTGTGATGCTGACGAAGCTGAAACTGAAAGCTCCAGGAGCGACTGGCGTTCGTTCATAGTCAGGATTGTTTACCTCTGGATGAGCCTAATGAAGCAACGTGACGCGTTGTTCTTTTGCGCTTGCAGGTCAGTTTAGGAGCTGATGTGTTCAGACTGATGTCGCATACAGAACACATTTAAAAGATATTGTGAACAGCCGAACAAAAAAAAATTGAATTTGGTGAGGAAATCAGATTTGGGCCACTTTTACCTGCTGTGTGAACATAGCCTTAGCTTCCATGTCACAGAGTGGACGTGGCAGAGTCACGTGACTACATGCACGGTAGTAAGTTTTTAAGGGGTCAGTACATGAACACATAGAGTGGGGAAAGGATTAACAGAATTAAAAAAAAAGACAATAACCGACGTGGGAAGGATTACGTCAGTTAGAGGTTCTGAATGCCGGTTTTCATTACTTTTCGATTAATTGCCCAGCTCTAATAATACCTATGGGGCACATTATAATTAAATATAGGCACTTAAATTTCTTCACTGTTGGAAGAAAACCTGCTTCACTTTTGTTGTTTTTCATTTTTTCACAATTTGAAAATGCTAGTTGGCCTTTACAGTGCATCACAATATTGTGATGAGCGGACCAATGGAAGTCATCCATAATTACTTAGAATAAGATCTTGTTCCATTTAAAACCTTGTATTTTTTTAACTCAGGTTTCCAAGCTTCTCTTTTTTTCGCTTATTGTGCTTTAACAATGCCTTTCCTTTTGCAAGTGAATTATCTTATATCTGATCTCCTCAGAAATATCTCCTGAAAAATGAATACTACAGGTGATGTAACCATGCTTTTGGAAAGGTCTAGTCCTTTCTTGCCACTTTGTGTTCTCTGGGCCAAAGAAGACAATGACCATTCAGATTGTTGCCTGTTACCAGCATACAAAAGCCAGGGTATGCCATGGTATTGGGATGTATTAGTGCCTATTGTATGGAGAACTTGCACATCTGTGACATTGTACTTAATTGTCATTTTGACTCGAAATGAAATAAATAGTAGTCTCTGACTCTGACTGATGCCTTGAACTGACATGATGTAAATGTGTACATCGTTTCCACATGAATAAAATATATTACATCAACACAACATTGTCTTTCGGTTTACGTTCTTTAGGCAGCAAGTGTGCTGATATGTTTTATTCATGTGGAAATGATGGACACATTTGAATCCACTCAATTCATTGCATCACTTTTTTATGTGCATGTGTTTCATGTTCAATTAACTCTGCACTCTTTGAAGAGTTGAATCCAGAGAGAAAGTTGAGTTGATCAGTAGATGCCTCATTTGGGAATTCTGCTTTGACCTAATTAACTAAGGCAGTTAAGAGGCTGTGTAGCTCAAAACAGTAATGATCCGCTTGCTCTCTCTCTTTGCTTTCTTCCAAGTTACTCTATGTTCACTTGTTCTTCTTGTGTGTATTATATGACTGATCTGTTGAAATCATATGTCACGATGGATTAGGAGCATCTGACATTATTGAATCCATTAATCAGCCATTATTGAGTGCACAGAACTCACTGATGCTCATGTTAAGGTGCTGTTAATTAAGGGCTAGGTGCCTATCGATTTTAGCCAGTCGGTAAAACAGAAAGAGGCAAACTCCCTCAACTGCTGCAGTGCGCACAGTCTGCATGTGTGTGTGTGTTTGTGTTTGTTTGAATACATTTTCAGGCCAAAATTGTCCTAACTTTGTGGTAAAACCAGAGAAAAACAGGACATTAACACCCAAAGAACTATATATATAAATATATATATATAATTATTACATATTATTAAATATTTTTAGAGATACTTACTTATAAATAACACATATGGAACATGTTAAAATTAAATATAGGTACTCACATTTCCTGTAGGAAATTGTTGTTTGTAAACATACACTCATTCTGAAATCAGTGCCAGCAACATGTTCCAGAAAAGCTGGAACCAGGCTATTTTGATTTTATGAAGTGTTCAAAAACATCCTAAACAGGTGATGCAGTCATGCTTATAGAAAGGCGTAGTCCTTTATGAGCAAGGATAAGTTGAGGCTCACCACTTTGTGTGCTCCAGGCCAAAGAAGACAATGACCATCGAAATTGTTGCATTGTCACCAGTGTAAAGTTCAAAAGCCAGGGTATGCCATGGTATTGGGATGTATTAGTATCACTGGTATGGAAAACTTGCACATCTGTGGCCATTAACACTAGAACAAAGTGTGGAGCAACATAAGCTGCCTTTTAGATGCCTTTTTCAGGGCCTTAGTTCAAAATGAAAACACCAAGAAAGATTCATGGCTGTGTAATCACAGGGTGCAGGTGCTAGATTGGCCTGCCTGTAGTCCAAACCTGTCTCCCAGTGAAAACACTGATAACCCCCGACAACAATGAAAACCTCGAACGGTTGCACAGTTGAAGACATGCAGAAGATTGGCAAAAACTGTGCTTTCAATTTGTGTCAAATGTTTATTTAATGAAATATTGTGTTTTTTTGCTGTTTAATATGAGTCAAAAAGAATAGACTAATCACTGCTTTCTGTTTTTATTAGCATTTTATGTCTAAATGTTTTGAATTGAGGTTTGTAGATAACATAAATATATAATATGTATGGGACATGTTATTATTACATATAGTCACTTATATATGTATAATAGATATAGCACATATTAGTATTACATATAGATACTTCGCATTGAAAGAGCCGTGAGTGCAGTGACACCTTACATGCTCAATCGAGTATGGGGTGAATTTGACTATCGCGTCAATGTTCTCCTTACAGCTGGAGGAGGTCAGATTAAGCGCTTGCAAAATTAGATAATAAACTTTATGCCACGTAAACCATTTACAGTTTACTGCATCTACAAGCAAAATAAATCATTTTGAAATCGGATGAATCTTTTTTGAATCACGCTGTGTGTATATACATGGCTGTTGTTGGAACAAAACCTTGTATGTCCATTTCTGCCGTTTTTGTGTTTTTGAAATGTTTTTATGTGTTTGTAGATATAAAAAACTCTGGGACCACTAGTGAAAATGCTTTTTTCATTCTTTAATTTAATACAGGTTTACATTACAAATTATATTATCAAAAATATGAATTGTAGAATTTCTTTGCATTTTTCCCACTTTAACAACAGCGGGCACTCGAGCTGGCACGGACTCTACAAGGCCTCAACATGGTCAATTTCACAGATTTGCTGAAATCTGAATAGTGACTTGGAAATAGTACAGAATCTTCAATATTTCTTTGTTGCTTTACTTATAATTTTAATTTGTTTCCATTTTTTAAAAATCCAAAAAAATTGTGTTGTATATTTCCAGGTTTAAATGAAAATAATAAATTTTAAGGTGATATATATATTTATATATATGTGTGTGTGTGTGTATGTGTGTGTGTGTGTGTGTGTGTGTGTGTGTGAGACCTCATGTCCTCACATTGTATAAAAACTTGTGTGTATGTGTATAAGAAGTTATTCCCCAGATAGCCATGAGCACTTTCCTTACATAAGACTGTGATTTAGAGAGTGTGTGTGTGTGTGTGTGTGTGTGTGTGTGTGTGTATGCACCTCATGGCCAAAAGAAGCATTCTGCTGATGCTGCGTCTTCCTCGGTGTGTACACATATGCTGTCTGGCTTCTCTAAGTCATGTGCACACACACATTTACTAGCTTCTTGCTTATCTCATGCAAATGTATAACAACTTACTGGTTGTGGTGGCTTTTTCAAATAACAGTGGGTCTGTGTGCATGAATAAGTGAAAAAGTCAAGCAAGACGCATTGGACATCAGCAATGTCATGTAGACACATACAGTGTCCGGTAAAATTTGTCAGCTCAGAAGAACGAGCAAAGCAAGTACAAAAAAATAAGCAAGGCAGGGTGTGGCAGGTTTAATCTGCAGCTGGAGATTCAGCTGCATCAAAATTGTAATCAATTCTAATCAATTTTAATAATATTCAATAAAATATGGGCTCATTTTTTGGCCAGAATAAAATTCAAATGTAACACTCTCATATTGGTTTTGTTGTCTATATTTCACCAGTAAATAAATACTTCCTTTAGTCACATTTGTGTATTCAAAGTAGTGATGCACTGAAATGAAATTTTTTTCTGAAACCAAAGCAAGATTCAGGACACATTGGGCCAAAAAAGAAAAGCGTAAAAAAGCAAACAATAAATAAAATTATGCACTTTTGCATTGTTATATGTGTTTTTTCATCTACAGGTGCCATTAATGTGCTAGCGGGGGCTGTCCCTTCTTTATTCTTGGCATGAACAGAGATTACACCTTGCTTGTCTAACATGAATTTTTCACTGTTTGTCTGCTGTAGCTCAAGCTGTTTGAACACATCTGCAGTGACTGACACAGGAAATCAAAAGGAAGAAACAGTGTTTTTCATCACTGTTTCTCATTTTGATTAGTGTTCAAATTACACATGTAGTGTAGTTCAATGCTGCCAGCTGTTTAGGCCTATTTGTCTCGTTGTTGTTGTTGTTGTTGTTAAAATGGTTTTTTTTGACCATTTGAATGCCACCAATAGAATAAAATTATATGTCAGTGTGTGTGTAGAAATTTGTGCGTGTGTTTTCTCAGTTGGCTTGACTCACTGTGTGCAAATTGTGTGTTTTTTTCAGTAAGTATGACATTGTATGTGTATTAGCCTGTTTGTGTGTGTGTCTGTGTGAGTGTGCTTGTGTATGGGTGGTTGGGTGGATGTACAAATGCGTGTGTCAGAGGGACCCTCAGGGGATCTCTGTGGTATTCTTAACCTGCTGTTGTTCTGATTTGAATCCCTGCCCACTGTGACATTTTGCCTCTGTGTGTGTGTGTGTGTGTGTGTGTGTGTGTGTGTGTGTGTAGTTCCTAAGGTGCAGGCTGTGGTGTATTCCACCTGTTCGTCCCTCTCAGAGGAGAATGAGGAGGTGGTAAAGAAAGCTCTCTCACTCGGAGAGCAAGACGGTTCCAGACTACAGCCCTTCAGGTATGTGTGTGTGAGTGTGTGTATGTGTCATAAATACACATATTTGAGATCTACCAAAGACAAATGATTGACACATTCTATAGCATTCCCCACATAGCAACATGAACGCCATATCAGTACTCCCTCTCTGTAGTGTAATATGAATAGAATATAAACATACAGTACTGTGAAAAAGTCCACCGTTTTGTTTATTCAGTTTCCAGTCCAAACAGCCATGAAGTACTAATTGTTTGGTTTTCAGCATCTGAGCAAAAAGCAGGAAACATTTCACTCGCATCTCCAAAATAATAACTTTTAATGTAAGTCAATGGAACCAGACTTCTTCCAAGTAATTTTCGGCTGTTTCTTTTGGTCCATTCATCATAAAATTTACACACAATGTAAGAGCAACAGGCATTTTCAAATTATGCCAAAAATTGAAAAACAACAAAAATACAGACGCTTTTAATAGGTTGATGTTAGCAGGAGGCGGTCAGTGGCAAACGGTCAGTGGCAGGCGGTCAGTGGAGCAGTGACGGGAAGTTTTTTCACTGGCAGTGATGGCAGCATAATGCAACAGTCAGCTGAACATTCAATCAAGAGTTTGCTGTTGACTGCTGTGGTGGAATAAACTGGATTTTTTTTTTGGGAACCATGGACGCCAAATGTCTCCTTGTTGAAGTCCAGTCTTATACAACAAAAATGAAAAGAATACAGAAAATACATCCTCTTTCTTTACCTTTAAATGAACAATCAGCACTGCTAAAACCCTACTCTGGTAAGCAACATTTTTGCCATTCACAACGTTTTTTTAATGCCAACATGTAACCGGTGCTTAATATTAAATCTATCAGTATTTAATATTAAATCTGTCTCAACTTTTGTGCACTCTGTTGCTCCTCCTCCATCTGTCCAATCTCAAAACTAATGAGTTACAGCTTGTTACACCTTCCAACAAAAGCTGTTCCCAAAGGTGTTACTGACATCATGTTCCCTTTCAAACAGATGCTAACATTCACACAAGCAACTACCCACACTCACCTCAGCTGCCATACAAATTTCTTTCTATCTAAAAAACAGGTATTTCTGATTAGATAATTGCATAAGAAAGGAGAATGTCAAAGGAAATAAGTGAAGTTTTCAAAACAGTTAAAAAAATTCTTAAAATATTTTACATTATATAAACACTTCCGCTGTAATAAGACTCAACGCTATGGGTCTCAAAAGATGTGTATCTGTCAAGAAGCTGTTATTGAGAAAAGGAAATAGGAAAAAGGAAGAAAACTTGCACTACTTGAGAACTTGGGAGATGTTGAAAAATATCCAAAAAGAAAAGAATGGAAGCTGTACACATAATATAATGCTGAAAATGTTGATGTTATATTTTGTTCTATTTTGTTGAGGGTTTTATGTATAGTCCTGTTAAATATGTGTTCTCTGCTTTATTTCCTAATATTGAAAAAGGAATAACTTGCACTTAATTGAAATTGAAACTTTGATTGAAATTGAAATAAATTAATTAGTGGTCTCTGACTGTTTCACAGGGCTGTGTTAGAAAAATAATGAATAAATATAACATATAACAAATATAAATATAACAAAAAAACTAAATAATGATCAAAAACACATTATATTAATGTATTAAGAAAAATCTAATGTTGTTCACTGCAGAAAACAAAAAAATACCTTTGATTATTTCATATTACTCATTCTGTCGTATTGTAAAAAAAAAGACTAAAATCAATGTGGGAAAATGGTATGCAGTGCTGGAGTAGTACACCCTCTATCAGCCATCTAGATCTCTAATGTATGTATCTATGGTCTGTATGCATGTGTCATGATTTCTTTATCTCAGATCTTTTATTTTGCCATGCTGTATACTGTGCAAGAGATTTAAGCAAAGCTATATATATGATAATACATATCGCTCATGCAAGTATTGTTAATAGGTCTGGTTGCTGTTCTATTACTGTTCTAATATCATGTGCATTCAAGCATATTGTTTGTGTATGTGCATCTGCATGTATGATCATTGCTCATGTGTATGTCCATGTATGGATGTATGTATGTATGTATATGCATGTGTGCATGTGTCAGGCTCAGCTGCCCGTCTCTGCTGCAGAACATCGTGTCTGAGGAAGAGAAGGGCAAAGGAGAGAAGGCCGGCTTCTTCAGGCTGGAGGCATCCGATCAGAGTAATGGCTGTTTCTTAGCTGTGCTGACCCGTCAGGTTTGTACACATAACACACAATAAAGCAAATTTTGTCCTCGAATGAAAATGTACATAATCTTCCCATTTCTCCAAATGCAGCCAAGACACGTATGGTTTGCTTCTTTAGTTGCTTCTTTAGTTTTGCACTGGAGCTATGAGGTTAATGTAGCGAGTAATGAAAGCTAATACCCTACCAATTAGTATTGTGCAAACTGCATGCCTAAATCATCACGCATTTGCCTCAAACCATGTCGAGTTGTTAAGTCTCAAATAGACTTGCTTATGTACTTGGCATACACAAATGCAAACCTCATCTCCATAAAAAATTTGAGAAATACTAATAAATCAGAAAGCAATGATTAGTAAATTCTGTTTGAGCTGTATTAAATTGAAAACAGTACAAAAATACCGTATTTGAAAAACGTTACCTTGTGAAATGTATTGTGTAAATATACACTTCAGTTCCAAATTTAATGACTGTGACACATTTCTAAAAAAGTTGAGCATATTTACAATTGTAGTACATAATCTTTTCTTTTAAGAACACTGAATAATAGCTTGGGGACTTAAGATGGCAGTTTTAAAAGCAGAATTTTTGGTAACACTTTTTATTTGGATAGTCCATTTTAGATGCTTTGTAAATACTTAATTTACTTTCAAGTTACATTCAACTAAATATCTACTAAATTAACCATAACTTTCTTTAACTCTAAACCTGGCTCTAATCCTAACCCTAACCTTAACCTCCACCCAAAACCAAACCCAACTCTAACCCTGGTCCAAATCCTAACCCTAACCCCACCACTTTTTAGAGTTTCAACAGATAGTTTGTTAACAGTCTGCAGGGGACTGTATTGGACTATCCAAACAAAGTGAAACTGGATTGTTTGCCATTCTTCCATTATACAAGTCTTCAGCTGCACAACCTTACGGGGCCTTCATTGTCATATTTTGTGCTTCATAATGTGCCACACATTTTCAGTGAGAGAGAGGTCTGGACTGGCAGCCACAAACTCTAATTGCACAGCCATACTGTTGTAAAACATGCAGAATGTGGCTTGACGTTGTCATATTGAAATAAGCATGGATGTCCCTGAAAAAGACGTTGTTTAGAAGGCAGTGTATTCTCCTCAAATTGTGTAAATATCTGTCAGTGTTAGTGATTCCATCACAGATGTTTAGGTTACCCATGCCTTGGGCACTAATACTCCCCCATTCCATGACAAATCCTGACTTTTGGACTTCACACTGGTAACAGTTTGGATGGTCCTTTACTTCTTTGGCCCAAAGAACTTGATGTCCATTATTTATATAAACAATCTGAGAAGTAGGCTCATCAGACTGCCGGGACCAAAGTCTATCCCCTTCAACCCCAGGACGCCAACATAATATTATGAATGAAAAGAAATCTTTTAACACTGGCTAAACACTTTTACCAATAACTGTTTTAAGTCTAAGTTCTCAAAAGATGTCAACAAGGAAAGAGTCTTCAAACACTGAGTTTGTGGAAGAGGGAAAAAACCTTTATTTCACCGTCAAGTGGCACAGGGTCTCGAGAGACCCAACTGCGCAAACAGTGTTCCAAACAGCAGTTTATATACCATCTATCTGGGGTAATATTATATCCCCCTGCCTTACTTCTCAAATTTTGATATTAGCTTATTCTCTAATAGGTGCATCTCTTCGTCCATCAATTTGGCCATTGCATGTTGCGCTCACTCCTAAAAACTGGTTTCAACTGGTTTTTACCAGTCTGCTTTACCTTTCAAGGTCAACTTGTACCTCTCTTCACTGGGTCAGTAAGTACACACAGGCCTGTCTTTGAACCCAGGGGCTTTCTAGTGTCTAGAATCTCCTATGCAGACAGACTAAGGCTGACCCTTTGTGAGAGAATTAATATTCTCTGTTAGCCAATACTACCTATTTGGTTATTGATTACAATGTCTAATCTGTTTGATTACTGATTAAGGGAATATTTATTCAAAATATCACTGCTTTCTGTTTTATTCCTTTTTTTTTTATTCGGAATTTGGGTTTGTAGATAATAAGTAATAGAAACCAATAGTCTCTATTCAGCATTGTGCACACTTGTCTCAAACTGTGTCAAATAGACTTGCTTAGAAGGTTTCTGACACTGTATGACATGCACAAATAAACAACACTACAGAGCAACAGCTCAAATAAACAGTTTTCCTCTCTGCTGTTCTGCGCTCTGGCATGCCTCTCTTAATCCCTGACTCAGTATGAGACTCAGATTAGGCTTGCAGCCAGCGTGGACTAGAACTCATGTTTAAACATCCAGTTTTATCTTTAGTCCACCTGATACATTCTGTTCTGGGTCAGTAGACAGGTGGGACATGGCTGACTTCCCTGACTATAGTCACGATTCTTCTGTGGCAGGCCACAGTTGTCGAACAGGGGTAGTAAAACCTTCAAAAATAGTTTTCAAATTCAAATTGGAGCAGTAGTACTGCTTCCTTATCTGCAGTTGCTTATCCAGTGTTTGGCTTCAAAGTGCTCAGTTCCCATTTTTTTTGCTCAGATCTTTCTGTCTTGATGGTTCATGTTTGTGTTTGTAAGTGACAGTATCTCATTTAATAGACACTAAATGCGTCAAAGAAAACTTTTTAAAACTTTTTTTTTTTAGTTCAAACACTATATCTTGTTCCAAGAGGCTTATTTTTGTCATGATGCACAGATCAGGAAGCTGTTTGCAAAAGTTTCTTGCCTCCCAGACTGATAACAAACGCTGCGTGGGTATACAAGGACATGCGTATAGCCAGAGAGTTACTGACAAAATCCCAAAAGTTCCAAAACCATCCATATATTCATTTAACCCCTTAAAATCCCATGCTTATTACATACTAAGGTTTATTATTCAGTAACTACAGGGACTTGGTGGCGCTATTCCATTAACCTATTCATTTTTCAGCATCAGGAAAGAAGCAGAATCATAATTACACAATATTAAAAAAACTAAAAATTACACAGAAGCCTAAACAACTAAATATAACACCACATTTTTAAGTATTTTTGTTTTTTCACTTATTTTTCTTCGACTTTCCTTTGACCTCATATCTAATCTACTCAGAAATATCTGCGTAAACTTGAATAACTTGTACTTAATGGCTGTTTTGACTGGAAAATTAATGAAAGATGGTGGTCCTTGGTGTTTGCACAGTACTGTTTATCAGATGATCCATAGTCCCCCAACTTGAAAGAGTACCAGCAAGTCTGTGAACGGTCCATTTGGAGTGGAGGTAGGGCAGCTCCTCAAGAAGTCATGATAGAAACCTTTTTGGCCCTAAAGTTTCCATAAAAAGGAAATAAAAACACCTCTACAACAATGTTAATTTCTACCAGCTCCCCTATAGCATTTCTAATAGTATGTTAGCACTTAGCTAAAGTGTACATTAACATTTGTAGGCCAATCTAAATTAAACAAAAACATTTAAAGCTTGGAAAAAATATTCCATGTGTTTTATTTAATGCTTCTAACAGACATTACCTTATATTTTACCTTGTATGTTGCAGTGTTACAGTGACTATTTCATTTAAGAACCTAGCATAGAGCTGCCACTGCTGTTTTCCATTTCTAACAAATGACTTTAACTGGTTAGGCTAACATTAGTATTTACAGTCAGTGATGTATCTAGAACTTCCAGAAGGCTTAAAATCATGTTTTTTTTTTCTCATAGAATTGGCCCTGCTCATTTTAAATCAACACATGATTGGCTGATTCTGTGTCACTTTCTAATTATGCTGGTGGTTAAACTGAAGTTCAGTTCATCTCCTTAAGCAGTATAACTAGTGAGAAAGCTCACTTGGCTGAATCTGTCCTATATAACGGGGAAGAAAATCCTGATGAGATTATTTTCATTTGAATGTTTCATTGATTTTAGCCCTTTTGCTTCCAGTCAAATGTATGAGTATTACTATAATATGTGCAACATTTAAATACAGCGAACATGATGATTCTATTAAGTAAAGCCTGCGATTTTATCAAGGAAAAAGGGAGTTTTAGGCACTCTGCCTCATGTTGCGCCTAAGAACACCCTTCCCGAAGATAAAATCACAGTAATGCACAACCTTAAGTGGCTTATTACTTTAATAAGATGGCGGCCAGCATAAAATGTGTTAATACACAGTTTTCAGAATTTAAGTTATTATTAATAATAATCGATGTAAACAAGTATTCCGTCAAGAAATGTAGTTCCTTTAACGCATGGTATTTTTGCCAAGCAACCACAGACCGCTACATGAGGAGAATAATGTTCAGTCTCCCATCGCTGTATATTGCAGTCATTTCAACTTTTAAACTGTTTAATGCAGAAACCTTTGCTTTATAAGTACTTTTGGTCTCCTAATTACCAACACAAGTCTTATTTAGCACCAGGCTCAAATGGCTCCCTGCTCCTTACATAGTGCACTTTGTAGGAATTGAAATACTGGATCCTGCACCCCAGTGCACAGTATAGCTCAGAAATAGTCATGTGGGACTCAACCACATGCATACTCCATAAATGATGCACTGTTTAGCTGCAGAAGCTAGAATTTCTAAACTTCCATAGCTAGCACACTATTTATGGAGTACAGAGTCATTTGGGATTCAGCCTGGGTTTGACACTACTTCTGACTGAAACACGGACATTTGAAGCACGTAATCCATTCAAGTGACACTTTTTAGACTTTTATACTGCCGTTTTACAGTAAATCATATCGTAAGTACTTTATTGAAGCCTGTGATATTAATGATGGAGGTGTTTAGGCTGTCTAGCCTGTTAGCTAACTGACCAGCCTAGTTCTAGTTAAGAACATAAGTTGCAAGCCCCTCAGTTTAAACAACAAACAGGTTCTTACTTCATTTGTACACATGGTGGTCCATGTGAGCAGCATGAGGGTTTTATTGTGTCATGGCGCAGTAATACACAATTCAGTTGTGGTGAGGCGGTCATAGGTGTGCATGTATCATGGATTTTACAGCGGCTTCAAACGCAGCTCAGCCAATCAGATTTTCG